TTATTATTATTATGTTATTTTTTATTATCCGCGAATGTTAGCAACTGGACAAATTGAATGCAGCGATCAAGGAAAAGCGACCAGAATTGGTCAATCGTAAAGGTGTCATTTTCCAGCAGGACAATGCTAGGCCGCACACGTCTTTGTCCACTCGGCAAAAATTGATGGATATTGGTTGGGAATTGATGTTACACCCACCATATAGTCCTGATCTCGCGCCATCGGATTACCACTTATTTCGATCCCTGGACAACTCCCTTCGTGGTAAAACTTTTAATGATGATGATGCTGTAAAATCTCACTTAACTCAGTTTTTGGCCGAAAAGGATCAGACTTTCTACGAGCGTGAAATTTTCAAGTTGTCAGAGAGACGGCAAAAGGTCATCGAACAAAATGGAAAATACATTACAGATTAAACTTCATTCCAAGTAAAACAAAATTTTTTATTTCATTGAACAAATCGGCAATTACTTAGTTGCTAATCCAATACATAAGTTAGCAGCAAGGCGACGGAAATCAGAGTTGGCAGAATTCATACATCGAAAGCATCGGTGGTTCAGTGGTAGAATGCTCGCCTGCCACGCGGGCGGCCCGGGTTCGATTCCCGGCCGATGCAATTTATTTTTGATTTTCTTTTTATATATTGAGTTTGGTTAAATGCAAAGCAGTTTATACAAACAGCTGATTTGGGAAAAATTGGTTCCATTTTCTAAGGGAAAGTTTTATAGGAATTTTAAGTTGCAAGAACTTTTTAAATGATATTAATCTCAGATTAAAAGTGAAAGTGTTTACGACAGAGTAACATGGATTGAAAGAGAATCGCGTGATTGTTTCGGAAAATCGAAAATGATACGATTGTAAAGGAAAACTTCAAGTCAACTTTAAGTTGTGCATAAAACAGTTACTAGTACTTTCTCTTACAAAATATTTTATCTAATATGCAAATCAAAATTTGTATAAAAAGAAGATTCAATTCCCGGTCGATGCAATCATTTTGTGCTTTTCTGACTTTTCATCCATTCTCGATGATTTTGTTCTGTTAATTGCCCTCGTTGTCCGTCGACGCGCCGAAAACTCGATGAAACGGATGGAATACGTACCAATGGCGAAACCTAAGCAGAACGCGACGTCTCCGATAGCGTAAACGCTTCCGTAAACAGCGCTATGTCGAATGTCGACTAGATAGCCCAATTCGGGCATTATCGAACTGTCCACCATACCGATAGCGAATCCCAGACCGGCATTGGGTACGATCAAATGGTCGATGCTCGTTGCGAGTGGTATCTACGGGTGTAAAAGATCGTGTTTATCTCGGAGAGGCAGCAGAAATGGCAAAATAGCTTTGCAATTAGCCGATGGGACAGATCGGTTGAAATAGATACTCACGCACATCAGACAAACACCGATAACCACGAGTCCGATCAAAGAAGCCAACCACCTGTGACAAAAAATTTAATTTAATTTAAAAGTAAAGGATAATTGCTGGAACGACGATCTCGACTTGAAACTACGAAAAAAAAAACAAGAAAAAGATATCCCGCCCGAACAGGGACTCGAACCCTGGACCCTCAGATTAAAAGTCTGATGCTCTACCGACTGAGCTATCCAGGCAATGAAACTCTCCTGACTCGTTGCTCCTCAGTAGCATCGATCGCCAGCTAAAACGAATTCTCGAAATACGTATACGTACTATTAGTCTTAAGTACTTGAGTCTCTATTAGGATTAGCACTCCGAACCATTCTGGACGTTGGCTACCAGCTACTCAGCGCCACTTTTCGGCAGAAACGGGCATTTACAGACATCGTATTATTTAGTATGGTTTTGGAACTAACTAACATATTATAATGATATTGGACTTATATGAATTGGCTGAAATCGAGAAATTTGCAAAAAGATCAATATTTTATTTTTTATAATTTTGTTATTATTTGTTTTATAATTTTGTTTTGTTGTTGTAATCGCTATCTATGCGAACTCTTTCTCTCGTCGCCTTGTTGCTTGGACGATATCACTATCACTGCTATCAAAACGATAGACTAACTGTAGAAGAAAACCTTCTACAGTTAGAGTCTTTCTAACATATCTGTATAAACGTCTATCTGGAGCTCATCTTCGCTACTACTTGTATCATGAGACTCATTCGTGTTTGAACGTTTTGCCATTGTTCTAATAGAAAATATGAATAAATACATAGGTTGAAAATTTCTAATTGTTATTACTAACTCACAAGATGATATTTACCAAAAAAACTTTTACCAAACAATTGATTTACCAAGAGAACAATCACTTTTCCGATTTTCTCACTCGTTAGATCTATTTATACCGCTTGACGCTTC